AATGAGAATTGTCCGCAACAATCCATCTTGAACCTGGAGTAGGGATCATGTGCCTCCACTCTCTCCACCACGCGCAAGGACAAGGGTTTGCGCATACAGAAGCATCGACATAAAAATGTATGCCGAATGTTGGTCCGGGTTGGAGGTAGTCCTTGTAGAGCGGTCTGCGCCAGTGAGCCTATCCCGGTTTAGAACTCTCCTCCCTTCGAGAATGTGCTCCACTTCCCTCTCCATTTTCTCGTAAATGCTGATCATCATCATCAAGTTAGCATCTTTGTAGTCCGAATCCAACGAATCAAAGAACTCTTTTTGAATGGATGATCATGCTCATTTTCCACGAACTAAAAAAACTGCCAGTACATTTTGTCGAACACATAGTGGGCAAGGTGTATGACGAGAGGAGCGGGACGTACCAAGGCGACGCCTAGGGCGACGATCGTGTCCGGGGCGACAAGAATGGTGGGAAGGAGTTTTGTGCCGGTGGTGGCGATGCTGTGGGGTTGGAACGAAGAAGCTCGGGTGGCGGTGGAGGTAGGGGAGGGCCGCTGTGGAGGCCAGGTCGAGGGTGATTTTATGAAATTTGTGATGGGTCCCTTCTGTCTGGCCCGACGTGGCGGATGCGCCTAGAAGCATCGGATCCTCCCTATATCTATCCCTAGATATGAGCTGGATATAAAGCCGTTGGCCAGTCCGAATGTATAAAGCCGGTTTGAAAGGGGCGCTTGGGTTGTGATTTTTTGACCAGTCTATCACCGGCCCGTCCGCCTGGACATATAAGGCCAATATAAGAGGTCGGCCGTAGTGGTCTAAAGTCCACATATGTCAAATGGTTCTTATTTTTGCAGAACACGAACAACACTTGGCATCCAAGGAGTTTCATCGCCTGTGTGATTCCATTTGCTCGCCGTCCCTTGCCAATTCAGCCTCAAATCTTCCCGTGCTTACACAGGACCGATCGTTGTCGGTCGGCGGGACAGCGAAACGAAGAAGACTTCAGTGGACAAACAGTACTGTACACAGCAGTACATTTTTACGTACCGTGGCGTCGTTCACCCCACATTTTGTTGAAGCCATTGTAGGGGTTTACTTAGATTTTTTTTGAAAAACGAGGATAGACCCCGCCTCTGCATTTGGACGATGCATACAACAATCTTATTAATTATTCACAGAGGTTATATAAAGTAATACACCAGTCAGGCTCAAGCCATCATCTAAACAACACTTGTTGCTACTTCTATGCAAGGGCGGACCCAGGGAAAAAAATTGAGAGGGGGCAAAATGTATGAGCATATTCACGAACTAGCAAGGCAAGTATTAGTATAAACTAAAAGTTTGGGCATGATCACCTCATTCTTCTCATGGTATCAAGTTCATTGTGAAGTGAAAATAAATTAAAAATTTGAGACAATGATCTGCATCAATATGAATATCACATTTGATGTTTGTGTGTGTTTGCATCAATATGAATATCACATTTGATGTGTGTGCGTGCACAAACAAATGATTGTTAGAATTTTTTATAATAGTTGATTCGAATAAATTGGAGCCTATGAGCCTGAACTAGCCAATATTGCCCTTAAGTAGGAAATTGCATATTAAAATTTGTATGTGACAAAAAAAAATGCTTGAACAGTTGAATTGACCTAATTATCCAAATCCATGGATTATACACATATTTTGATGTTTTATACGGTTCATCTAGATTTCAAAAGGAGAAAGACATGGACAAACGAATGAATAATACACTAATCTGATAGCACGCGTGCAAGGCCTAGATTGAAATTTCAAACAGTTGAATTTCAGTTTATATAAGATTGGAATTGCAAACTAACAAAAAAAATCGCAAGGAGGAAAAACCTAGATGTGTTATACGGCTCACCTTGATATCAATCAGAGAGAAATTACAGAATCGGGGTTTGCTGATGGGGTTGTGCGTTAGTAACGTCGTGCAAGGCCGCAGGGGAAGGATACAGGCAAGTCAGCAGTTGCCGCCGCCGGCGGCTGCGAGCGGCAAGGTCAGGGCTTCGGCCGTGTGGGTGCGAGTGTGCACGAGGAAATCTGAGCGATCTGCAGGCTAGACGCTGCAACACCCTTTTTTTTTTGCTATTTCTTGACCTTTTTCACACTTCAAGTAATGGGCTTTTGAAAATACGCAAGGAATCGGGCTAAGTGGAGGCAGAGTATTCGTCCTAGCGGGGGCACACGCATAGGCAGCAACATGTATATAAGCGCATGTTAGAAACGAGTGGGGGCAGCTGCCCCCACAGGCTCCAATGTAGATCCGCCCCTAACTTCTATACTATGATGAAGGTGTGCCGAATATTCGGACCTAATATCAAACGGACATCGCATCAAACCCTAACATCTAAAGCCGGATGCCCCAACTCAGCCACACAATGGGACCGGGTCCCATACCGGATCGACGCACTTTCAGAGGCTGCCGCCGCCGTCTTCCACAGGTCCATCTGCAGAGCAGAAACTGACCCGTCGACCTTGTCTGGCCTGTCGTCAATGCCACAACGACGCCATACAACTCCACCATTCTGCACGTGTCTGTCCACACGCGCCCGTCGCCGAACCTCCGCGGCACCATGCCACCGGGATCCGCAGTCGGCCTTGCGGTGGATGAGACACCGCTCTTTCGCTTGTCCCGTCCAACTAGCACTTGCTCCAAAACGTTGCCCTCAGGAGGGACAACAACATCAAAGGTACCATCATCGTCCGATCCGGCAGATCCAGATCTACGGTTTTCCCCGAAGTATCACAAATGGGGTGCCACGACCTACAACAATGATGCCTCGAGAAGGGAACGACGTCATAGACGCCGCCATCGTCCACCATGACCGAAGTCGGCGTGATTTTCACCGGAAGTAGTGTCCCCCCAACCTCGTAGCTGGCTGGAACCGAATGGAGCCTCGCCATGGAGATGAGGGCCGATGTCGGCACGCCGACAGGGAGCCTCCAGCCGCCCCTCACCGGTCCTCCTCGCGCCACTGGCCGGCCAAGACTGTACCGAGACGGATCTGGACAGGACACTAGATCCGCAGCCATCGGAGACACCCATGCGCCCGCGGCCGCCACACCGCCAGCCATGTAGGCTCCCATCGCCGCCACGTAGCAAGGGCGCCGCCCTGGCTGCCGCCCCCAGCCTTCCTGCGCGAGACGCTGCCTCCGCCTCAGAGGATCTGCCGCGGCGACCACACGCCTTGGATCTGCGGTGTAGGGCCCGCCGCCACCATGGCCCTTGCCGGCGGCAACGCGACTAGGGATGGAGGAGCGGGGAGGGGCTGACGGCACGGGAGTTTACTTAGATAGTGGTTGGGTCCAACGACGATGACGTTGTCGTTCCTTTTCCGAAGACACCGTCGTTGGAGCACCTATCATGTTACTTGGGTTGCCATGATTGATGGTTTATATTATGTTTGATGAAGTTGTTCTGTTGGTCATTTTTTTTAAAATATTTTGGCTGTGTGCACCTGCAAATGTTTTAGGCAGCTCTTACGATCGTCATTAGTGCATAGGCTGAGTGTAATTTTATCTTGACGATATTAATACATTATTTTCATCTTACAGTTTGTCAGCTCTTCTTTCTTTTGCGTGCAAGGACAAGCTCCTGTCCTGCGTCGGCATAAAGTCCGAGCCGCATCACAGTTGTACTAGCTGCTAGTACTAGTACTAGCTACGTCGACGGGAGCATCTCCTCAAATCTGAATGATTGGGCCGTGAGAGTGACCCGAGCCGCCCGGTGCTTTGCAGCCACATGATCGTAGGTGGCACCGCCGGATTGGCTGGCCGCGCGCAGCAGTTGTGGATACTGTAAATCCAAAGGTCTCTGTTGTCCCACGTGTCCCGTAGGAAACCTATATGGACGTATGAGAATACGTACGTTGTGCATCTCAAGGTACGTAAGTTAGCTATACAGGGAAAGGAAATGGAGGAGATGTCATCGGTCGAGGGGCCCACCGGAGTAGAGTATACTACTGGAAATATTCGCAGACAGGGGAACGTTCTGCGCCCATCTGTTTCGTTGTTATACTTGTCTTGATCAGAGAAAGCGACCACCGATGGTTCATGATTTCTCCGTAAGCACAAAGGCCAGACCTAACCAGCCGGGATTCAAATTTCTGGAGCACGTTTTGTGCGAGGGTGAGAAGAGAGAGGGGGACAGCTTATGCCTTCACGTCATACAGCTTGCATGCAGGTTGCAGCTAATCAGGCCACTGTTAGGAATCTCCATTTGCAGGTAGCTCCGCGAGCTGTCCGTCTTAGCGATGATTCGCTGTCCTTGTTTGCTATTGGTGGCAATCAAGTTTCTGAGCATCTCCATTGGTGGATGAGCATGTATATACTGAACCTGTTTCTGTTTAAATTCCTGTTTTTGATTGTATACTGAACTGTTTTCTGAAAGATAGGACTGCCAAATTGTCCCGAGTAGTCGGCACCACAGTAAAAGTTATCTGAAGCTGCATGTGCATGCACGCATTTGGAACGGACACATCGTTGATCCTTCCAAGACATCTGCAAAACCCATGCTAACTCTACACGCCACTAGATAAAGGTCGATATATCTTTTCTGTGCTGCGCTTTCTGACCTTTCTGCATAGTATTTTGCCGGGCGGCACAGGCACAGTAGTACGTAGCAACGTAAGCGCACTGCACATACCTTAGAAAACAGCCCCTCCGATTGATCACTAGCCACCAGTTCGTTAGGCTCCGAAAACGACCTAACGATGATGCTATAGTCGGTTGTGGGCGGCAAATTATAACCCAAAACCTCCCATAAACTACGCAGAAAACCTTATCCCTCGCTAATAATCAATCTGCCTCCCCGCTTAACAGGCCAAACTCGAGGTGATAATGAGCTCGTCCTCTCCCCGGCACGAGCCACCCTCTCGCGCCCCATATATACCTGGCCGCCCCTCCCCTCTCTCCTCACACTGAACAACTGCAGCAAACACCATTCAAGCTAGCTACAGGGCACTAGCTAGACAGAGCTAGCAATGGCGAAGGACATTGAGGCGGCACCCCAGGGCGGCGAGTTCTCCACCAAGGACTACTCGGACCCGCCGCCGGCGCCGATCGTGGACTTCGAGGAGCTGACCAAGTGGTCGCTCTACCGCGCGGTGATCGCCGAGTTCGTCGCCACGCTCCTCTTCCTCTACATCACCGTGGCCACCGTCATCGGGTACAAGCACCAGTCCGACCCCACCGTCAACACCACCGACGCGGCCTGCAGCGGCGTCGGCATCCTCGGGATCGCCTGGGCCTTCGGCGGCATGATCTTCGTCCTCGTCTACTGCACCGCCGGCGTCTCAGGTCCGTCCATCGATCGACCACTAGTTCTCTTCTCGCGCGTGCATAACTGCACATGCATGCATCATGCATGGGTCATGCGTGAGACTGACTGTTCTCTCTTCACGATGCATAGGTGGGCACATCAACCCTGCGGTGACGTTCGGGCTGTTCCTGGCGAGGAAGGTGTCGCTCATCCGGGCGCTGCTCTACATCATCGCGCAGTGCCTCGGCGCCATCTGCGGCGTCGGGCTGGTCAAGGGCTTCCAGAGCTCCTACTACGTGCGGTACGGCGGCGGCGCCAACGAGCTCAGCGCAGGCTACTCCAAGGGCACCGGGCTCGCGGCCGAGATCATCGGCACCTTCGTGCTCGTCTACACCGTCTTCTCCGCCACCGACCCCAAGCGCAACGCCCGTGACTCCCACATCCCGGTGAGTACTATTGACTACAGTATATACCGTATTATACCATAGAGTACACTTTACGATGTCTCTCAAAAGGAAAAGTACACTTTAGAGTGTATAATTGATGCTTATGGTTTATGGCCAATGATAGACTGGATGCAGATCAAAGTGCTGGGAAAGTCGTTGACCTTGTCCTTAACTCCTTATTCTGCTTGTGACTTAGCTTTGGAACAACTTACTACTTGACAACGAGAAAACATTCTAGAACAAGTTTGTAAAGAATAATCTAGTAAATTAAACTCGAATTACTGAAACTAATTGCTGGTAAAAAGCGATTATCAGATCATATACTCAATTTCTACTACCAGTGCTATAGTAGCAAAATACTTTCGTGAGATAGCTCTCGTGGTCACGCAATTGCGTATGCAGGAGTAGGGCAAGCAAGTCACAAATCCTGACAAAATGAAGCATTTTAGTGAACCTAAAGGCTAAAGTGCCACCCAAAAAATGCAATATTTACGGTCCAAAATTGTACGAATCACTCCACATCAAGCACCTGCATGTGCAAATGTATCTGCTTGTCTGATCCACAGCGTGCCAATAGGCAGATAGGAAGATTCTCTTGCTCGATTAGGCACTAGTCGCTGTCTCGCCGCATCGTCTACAGAAATCTGAGGTGGCAAATCGAAAATGGTCGCCACCAATTAATGAGGAAATATGTTGCATGGGTATGAAGAAATTGCAGAAGTCCAGGGATAATGTCATGCATGGACGTATTTTGTCATTCAGATTTGGTGAACCATCCCTTTCTGGTTACACAATTTTCAAACAAGTATGCTCTTATTTGCATTCTTTTGTGTTGAGATGTATACTCAATTCTGGAATAATATTTACAAATCACCTAAAAAGTACAGTAACATCTACAAAAGCAGCAACTTGTTTTGTCCTTAATTTGCTATAATATTGACCAAGATGCTTGCTATCGTCAGTCTCTTTGATGTAACTGATCAGCGTGCATGCTAGTTAAGCTGATGTGTTTCATGGTTTGATCTTAATGTTTTGAACTTACCGATCTACTCAGGTGCTGGCTCCTCTCCCAATCGGATTCGCCGTGTTCATGGTCCACCTGGCCACCATCCCCATCACCGGCACCGGCATCAACCCGGCGAGAAGCTTGGGAGCTGCTGTCATCTACAACAAAGACAAGGCCTGGGATGACCAAGTACGACACATCAGTACACTATCATGGCCAATACAGTTATATGCTATATATATATGGCATAAAATATTGAGTACTCCCTCCGTAAAGAAATATAAAAGTGTTTAGATCACTACTTTAGTGATCCAAACGCTTTTATATTAGTTTACAGAGAGAGTAATATTTATCAGCTACTACTTGGCTTTGGTCACAAATCACGGTCGACTAGTACTTGATAATTCTAGACTGAATTGACAATCACACGGGATATATTTGATTAACTTATCATGCTTAGTTGATGCCAAATAGAAAACTTATCATGTTTAGTCTTACATTCAGTAATCAGGATAATATTGCAAACGAACGGTTGCTTTCAAAGATATTGCAAATGAAGGGCAGGATAATGCTTGCCAAATTAAACAGCTAGCTGGTGTCAGTGTCGACACTCCAAAATTTCATCTATCATTGATCATTCGAACTACTCACTTAGGTTATGCATGACATGCTCATCCACTATTTTTGACGTTATATAACCTAATCCATACCTCACACACACCTAAAAGATGCTCCGTGGAACATAACAACAGGTTTTAAAATCTGCTGCATGCATGTCACCATCGACCAAATGATTTAACTATGTCAATTTATTCAGTTTTTCTAACCATGGCGAATCAAATCGTTATAAGATAAGCAATAAAGATTGCTTCGTCTGTCCTGTACGTACATCACATAAACTTCCAATGAAGCGGCGCCGCTGCCGCTGATCTGCCTGCCACGTGCTGACTGCTGTTTGTGTTCGTGCAGTGGATCTTCTGGGTGGGGCCGCTGATCGGCGCCGCCATCGCCGCCGCCTACCACCAGTACGTGCTGAGGGCCAGCGCCGCCAAGCTCGGGTCCTACAGGAGCAACTAAGCCGGCCGTCGCTCCGGCCGGACTGAAGTGTAGATATGTGCGAAGAAGAAGGCCGCCTCCAGCAAATGCGCTATGGTTGCTCGATCCCACACCTTTGTCCTGTTCAGTGGCTCCAGTCTTTGCATCATCAGCTGCTACCGTTCCTCGGCTTGTGCATATGTCGATGTGACCGTCCATTCGTACGTCGACGTGTTCCGGAGTTCGCCATGTTTGCTTGCTGCTGTTTCTTCCAAGTGTGCTATCCATTTACTCGCTCTATGTATGTATGTATGCATGTGGAGAATTTGTGAATCAAAGAATTGGTATCGTTTGTGAAATTTTATTTTACTTGCAAAGAAAGAGCTTCCACAGCTTCCATTAACTGCTTTTAGAACCAAGACGAAATAAGAGTCTGCCTTTAAATTAATAAACGCCAACATAATTTCCCCGCAAAAATGCCAATATAATTGACGAATGTTCTGTATTTCATCCTAGCACCTAATGGATCCTGCGCATCTGATTGTGATCGCATTGCTGTGATCTAAGAGTGAGTCATGGCCTGTGGTTTCATTTCACAATTTTGAAAAATGTTCACAAACTTGAAATGTTTTTCATTTCAAAAAATCTTCACGAAATTAAAAACCGTTTCTAGATTTCAAAAATTGTTCATGAATTGCCAAAAAAACCACAAATTCAAGTGTATTTGAAACATGTTCAAAAAAATAAAAATGTCCACGATTTCAAAAGATGTTCATGATTTCAAAAGAAATCTTGATTAATTTAAGAATATTTGAGATTTCAAAAAACTTTAAGAATAAAAAGAATGTTCATGATTCCAATTTTTGTTTGTTATTTTTTCCTAAAAAATGTCCAAAAATCTAAGAAATGTTTGCGAATTCAAAAATTGTTCACAAATAAAAAACATCAGCGTGAATTTGAAAAATGTTCACAAATTCAAAAAAAATGTTCATTTTTTCAAAAACAAATTACATATTCAAAAAATCAAGAATTCAAAAAATGTTCACTAATGCAATAATATTTCAGGATTTAAAAAATGTTTCTGGATTTGAAAAATTCTTGCCAATTCCAAACTGTTCAGGAAATTAAAAAACGTCCGTGAACTAAAAAAATATTAGCGAATTCGGAAAATAGGAGGTACATTGGAAAAAGAAAACCAAAAGGAAAGAGAACATCAAATTAAAAGCAAAAAGTAATCAGGAAAAAAAATAAAAATCAGTAAGAAATGGCTTAAAAAAGAACATGGAAGTAATATAAAAAAACTAGTGGGGAAGGTCTAGAACCTGATGGGGAAGGCACAAATCAAGTGGGCCGACCATTACAAAGCCAGTGCAGGGGTTGCGCGTTTGGTCGATATTTCCCATCCTACGTGGGGATTAGGAACCGCCGAAAAGCCGCTGAATAAGGCTCTTTCGGTATACACACACCCCATCCCTTCTTAAGATTCCTAAATGGGTCGGAACATACTCGTGTACCCCTTAGTAGTCTTTGGAATAATCTGAAAATTTTATTTCTCTGCCCTGGTTTTCTCTGTGCCTTTTTACTTTGTTTTCTGACCGGTTTTCTATCGGTTTTGTTTGCTCGTCTTTCTTTTTTCCTTTCCTTTTTCATCTTCATTTTTATTTATTTGTATTATTTTCTTCTATATTTTTTATTTAAAAATACATTAACTTTTTATAATCCACAAACTTATTCTTAAATGCATGAATAGTTTTCAAATCCATGAACTTTTTCTGAATCTGTGAACTTTTATCCAGTTTCATTAATTATTGTTTCAAAATCTTGAACTTTACATTATCTTTAAAATTTTGTGAAAACTTGAATTTGTGGGCCTTTTCAAAATCTACAACTGTTCTGAATTCGTGACCTTTTAAATTTTGTGAACTTTTTTGAATTTGATATTTTTTTTATAATTTGTGATTTTTTGAATTCATGATTATATTTCAATTAGTGATTAAATTTCAAATTGAAAAGCAATTTTTAAAATTTGTGACCATTTATCATTTCTCCAATTCACCAAATTAAAAAAAACACTAGCAGGTTAAAAAATTACGGGTAGCCAGTTTAATTTTCGGAACCATCAAAGTCACAACGCAGAAAACAACAGAGCGAGCTAAGCCAGTGAGCCTGTGGGCGAAACAAGCTGTTGGGCGGCGACCCAGAAGTGAGCGCGCGCGGAATCTACTGAGCTAGTTCTTGTGGGAGCTAAATCTCGCTCATATGAGATGGTAGCTCCCCTAGAGTGAAGCATCTCGCAGCGCCGTCATATGGGCCAACTGAGTAGCGTGTTTCTTGGTCATGTGTTCGTTCGTTCGGTCTGATCGCTGCAATGTTTGTTCCTTTTTATATTTTTTTCGTTTTCTTTTACTTTTCATATGCCTTTTTATTTCATCAACATTTTTCTATGGTTTTATTTTTTCCCTTTTTATACTTCTTTTGTTTCTTTCTTGGTTTTCTTGTGTTTTTGTTTTGTTTTTAGAACAGGTTCTTCTCAGGTTTTCTTGTTTTTTTTTCTTTTTTTCTTTCTCAGTTTTCTTCGGAGGTTTTCAACACAAGTCTATATTCTTTGTAAATACCAGGTATATTTTTAATACATGTTTATCAAATTTTAAATACATGATCAACATTCTTTTAAATATAAGTCTTGATGCATACTTTCTTATTTTTACACGTTAATTTTTTGGTATATAGCAACAATTTTTACATACATTTAACTTTTTTCAAACACATGATTAATGCTTTGTTTTTCAAATATATATTTTGATGTCAACTTTTTTATACAAATTGTAAATTTGTTGTATACATCAGAAGCATTTATAACACATAACTAATATTTGTAAATACATGATTAATATTTTAAAAAAATATGTCTACTTTTTTACATACACCCTCTATAATTTTTGTATACAAGAGAAACATTGTTTTATACAGCACATGTTTACCATTTTATAAATACATGATTAACATATTTTCAAATCTATGTTTTGATGTCTATATTTTTCATATGCTTTGTAAATTCATTGTATACATTAGAAACATTCTTTTTATAGATGTTTAACATTTTTTAAATACCCAATTAACATTTTTTCATTTAATTTTTGATTTATACATTTTTATAAACAGTGTACATTTTACATACACCTTGTACATTTTTTGTATACATTAGGAACATTTGTTTTTACATGTGTACATTTTTAAATACACGGTTTCTGTTTTATATTTACGTTTACTGTATATTTTTTCATACACATTGTACATTTTTCGTATACTGTGGAAACATTTTTATGCACATGTTTAACATTTTGCAAATGCATTAGTAACATTTTTCTAATTTTTATGTAAATTTGTTTGTGTGATATATATATATATATATATATATATATATATATATATATATTTAGAGTATTTCAAAATATAAACAAAAGTGAAAAGGTAAAAACGAAATAAAAATCAGAAAAAAGGAAAGAAAGAAACGACCGCTCAAAGCCCAGCGCGCTGAGCCATCCCATTGGGGCAGACGCTTCAGGCAAGCGCTCCTACTATCTCGCTATATAATTGAGGCATGTGGTTGTTTTGGCAGTTGGACACGTTTAATCAACAAGATCTGTGTCGCGTGTTGGCTATGTTGTGGGCAATATGGTGGCTGTGTTGACGTGCCATTCATGATGGCGAGTTTCAGAGCCCTCTGGCCACTATGAACTTCATTAATCGGTATCTTCAAGAGCGGAAATTGTGGTGGTTTTATGTTTCCCTTGCATCAATTTCATTGTTGAAGTCCCATAGATCAAGCTGATGGATTAAACCAGAGGCATGGTGAAGATCAATGTTGACAGAGATTTGTCATGTAGTGATAAGTTTGGGGCAGCTGCCACTGTTTGCAGCGATTCATCAAGATATGTTTTGGGCGCATCAGCTGTAACCGGCTAGCCTTGAGGCTCAGGCATGCCACGAGGCCCTTTCTCTCGCTAGGATATTAACATTCACAAGGTGATAGTGGCCTCGACTACCTTGAGGTTGTTAGAAGAGACGCTCCTGTTTACGGGGTAATTTTGAACAAGATCAATCATCACAAGAAGGATTTGGGTGATGGTAGTTTTTGTTTCGAGCACACTAGTTGAACAATGAAGCTCATGCTCTTGCTAAACTTGTTTCTAGAAGTCGGGCGTCATGTGTGGCTAGGGTTAAGGCCTGATATCATATGTATTTCAGACACTTTGATTCTTAAATAAAGTCTCTAGTCACCCACCGCTTGGAATAAGCGGTTAGCTATCTCAAAAACAATCAACAACTCAAAGTCCCTGGTCACTCTTTAAAAAACTATAAGTAAGGCATAGTCGCGCTTGTTAGTTGGCGCTAAAGGCACTGCAGAAGAGGTTCATGAGAAATTGCCCCAGTGATGATAAACTACACAATATCGAGCTGTCTTCCGGGCCAACTTTCTTCCCAGCATGGCGCAGGTTCTGCATTATTTCTGCTTCCATTCTGGATCGGGGTGCATCTGGCAACTTGAAGAGTTGGGCTACAATCAGGGCATGGCCAGTTGCCCTAGCCGCTACATCCGCCCAATCGGTCTAGCTCAAGTAAAAGATGTTGCTTGCAGAGGCGGACGAGCTCTTGCAGAGGAGCCCAGTTCCTCACTGACCAAAGTGGTGGCTGAGCCAAGTTCTACTCTCCATGATAGTGTGATGTTTTTGCTGGGAGAGATCAATGGAAGAAAAGGAAAAGAACTACTCCCTCCGTCCACTTTTGTAAATCATTTCAGACAACTTAAAATAGACTGTTTTACACATTGTCTGAAATGCCTTCAAGGTCTTATAAAAATGAACAAAAAAAAGTAGTGATGCCATACTAGGAAAGGGACCATTGCCACCATTGAGCGATTGTTGGTTGGGGACGAGACTTGCCTGCTCGCCCGGCGTGCGCCCATACAAATAAGGCCCGGCCCCACCCCCTTAAAATCAGGGGAGGAGATGATTAGATTAGAAAGAAAAAAGAGAAAAAGACAACCGTAAGATGGAGTGGGAGTACGGATGGGAGCATGGGGAGGGAGCAGGCAAGCCGGATCCGTTGGGTGGGACATCAGTTTCAAATAAAAAATATACTCCCTCCTTTCCGGTTTATAAGGCTCAATTCAAAATTCTCACCAACCAAGGTAGATGATGAGTGGTGGAATATTTTTCGTAGTTTGCAAAAGCACTCAATTAATGCTCTTATTTTCCTCAAAAAAGTATGTTTACCAATGCATTAATTGTAATGCATGCATGCATAAATTACATGCATTGGTCAATTTTCTCTTAGTACTTGCATGCAATGATTTAATGCACCTTGAAATCTGAACATGTGATAGAAAACAACCAAATTGAGCCTTATGAAATGGAAAAACTAAAATTTTGAGATAAGTCCTATAAACCAGAAAGGAAGGAGTATGTGAAATGCATGGGGCAGCACCGGCGAGCGCCCTCATCAGCCATGGCGAGCGCCCTCAAAAATGAAGAAAACACGGCGACCGACGGCCCCATGGGACGGCGCCGTCGGTAAGGAGACGTAGCCGGCGGCCTTACTGGCTTCACCGTCCTCCTCCCGTGGGCTGTGGATGCGGAGAGCGACGACCCATAGACGGCGCAGTGTACTGCCGTGGCGGTGCAGGATGGCAGGGATCTGCAGTCTCTGGCTCGGGAGGCGAACTTGTGGTGCCTCACACGGAGCAGCTACCCATGCAAGCCACCTGTTCGACAGAGTGCCAGAGCAAAGGAATATACGGCCAGCCTAACAGGTTTCTGTCATAAACCTCCATGCCTCTGCTTTCTGATTTTAAATCAAGCATCTGAGTGAAACAAAACTAGTGGAAACGAATTCTCGGTTGCAACGATTAACCAGGAGCGATATAGGATAGATTACACAGATCGACAGTCTGAGACTGAGAAGCCTGGAGCCCAGGGCTAAGGCAAGGAGCCAAGAACACAGGTTTTGATCTCTAGTCATTTATCTGAAGCGCTAGTTAAAGAAACTGAAAATCGTAATTGTTATGATGAAAGTACAGGTCAGTACACAGCTCTACCATTTATGCATGTTCCTTTCATTTTAGGTAAGTCATCTTGACTATATTGTACTTTTTTTCATTATTGAGGAAATCGTTAACTGGTAGCTGCTCGGTTGGCTAGCGAGTAGGGGATTAATCGGCTAATCGGCAAGTTAATCGGCCATTTAATCAATTAATCGGATGATTTTTTGGTTTATCGGCTACTCGGTGACCCTATGAGTAAGGATTAATCGGCAAGTTAATCTTGAACAGGGCTTTTTTTTGAGCAAGACTATATTGTACTCCCTCCATCCCATAATATAAGAACGTTTTTGACACTAGTGTAGTGTTAAAAACGTTCTTATATTTTGGGACAGGGGGAGTACTTTGCTAACACGCAGAATTCTTATTAAGTTCCAAAGCAATATAACAGTAACTTTAAGTTGGCTAACTGGAAAGATTGGTTGAGGTAAATGCAGGGAAATATCAAACATGTGAATTGCCAGCTATGGTGCAAATGATCCTTAAAACATCTTCCATAGCTTCATACGAGAAATTAGGACAAGATCATAAAAGACACAGATAACATTTGCATGAGCTATCACAAAATCTCATTTACTCATACGGCATACAATGGCTCTACTGTTGCTCCTCTGTTCCAAAATATAAGGAACATTTGACTTCTACAATCTCCAGTACACGACTTTGACTAAAAAAATTACTTATGAAATGCTTACAAAATTAGTAAATGAACATATGGCACAAAAGTATTTTACAAGACAAGTAGAACAATAAGATTTCTTACATGCTAAATCTGTATACTTCCATAAACATTAGTGGTCAAAGTTTTGGAATCTTGACTTTCCAGAAATTTATGTGCCTTCTATTATGGAACATAGAGAGTATTAAATATTACCTCAAAGATGACTTCAAAGTTTTGGACGGAGGGAGTAGTAAGTTAGACTCCCATGAAGCACATCATATTCATATGCAATAATCAGTCATATCTTACAGTGTTCACTCTGACAAAGATTATTCAAGAGGGGAGAAATTGAGTACAAGTATTTCTGTGTTGGTCACTGTTATTAAACTTCACTTTGTTGCTTTATTGCTAGCACAAACGCTGGCAAGCCATAAGACTAGTTCATGGGCTGTGAGTTCAAGTTTTCCACGAAGGTCACTGTTATTGAGCTTCACTTTGTTGCTTCACTGCTAGCACAAACGTTGTCAAGCCATAGCACTAATTCATGGGTTAATGGCCTCAGTTTAGGTGACTCACTAATGCACAAACATGCAATATCAATCATCTTCATCATTTGCATCTCAAATTTCTTGTCATACATTGCACGGTCCAATACGTCGGCTTCACGGTGTTCTCCTTTCATGTGCATAACCCATGAGACCAACTCCCTAGCTCCCTTCCTCTTGCACATATCAACAGGCCTCTTTCCTGTTAATAACTCCAGAAGAACAATGCCAAAACTATACACATCACCTTTGAAAGTGGCTACTGAAGACTGGCCATACTCAGGGGGGATGTAACCCAGTGTGCCAACTAGGTCAGTTGTCACATGTGTATCATAGGGACAAATTAGCCGAGCAAGCCCAAAATCAGCCAATTGAGCTTCAAAATTCTCATCCAGGAGTATGTTGCTTGACTTGATATCACGGTGTAGTATGTGAGGTTCGCATGACAAGTGCAGGTATGCCAAACCTCGTGCCGCTCCTTTGGCTATCTGAAGCCTTCTCTGCCAGTTTAATCTGGATGGGCCATCAGGCTTTTCATGAAGCCAGTGGTCTAGGCTGCCATTCTCCATGTAAGAGTAGATCAGGAGCCTGTCACTGCCATTCCTGCAGTAACCTTGTAGAAGCACAAGATTAGGATGCTTAGCTTTTGATAAAGTTTCCACTTCTGCTTTGAACTCCCTCTCCATCTGGCCAAAATCACCCGATAGTCTTTTGATGGCGATCTTTGCTCCATCTGGCAATGTTCCCTTGTACACTAGACCAAACCCACCACAACCAATGATGTTAGCCTGATCAAAGTAGTTTGTAGATTTCAAAATGTCACTGATAGTCAATGCCTTGTCATCATCTTCGTTCTGAAACAGAAGTACCAGTGACGCTGGTGCCAATTCGAATGCTACATTTGTATCCACAACAGCCTTAACTATATGATCCTGCCTTCTGAAGCTTCTCTTCAACGCAAGTACAACAGCAACAGACAAAACCATTGCTGCTCCAATTGCAATGCCAATAATTATTCCTAATATGAGACCCTTGTTCTTCCGATTTCCCGTTGCAGAGATGATGGGAGCATGATTGGACTGACATGGGGATAAGCCAAAGCGGGTGCCACAAAGGTTGGGGTTCCCCTCATAATCAGAACCAGTGAATGTTGAGAATTGCCCTCTTAATGGAACTGTGCCCATCAGATTATTGTATGCCACACTGAAGCTTGATAGAAAATTCAACTTTGTCAATGAATAGGGAATGCTTCCGGTGAGATTGTTATGTGACAAATCCAAGGATTCCAAGCTAGACATGCCTGATAGCTCATCAGGAATGATACCAGAAATATTGTTGTTGCTGAGGTCCAAGACATACAGGTTCTTGAGGCTTCCAAAGCCCGGCAATATGGCACCTATGAGCTTGTTATGGCTGAGAATTAGAGACGGTGGAAAGCTGCTAACCTGTTTGTACTGCAACCCTTTGCCTGTTTTGTTCCTTTTAATGAAGAAAGGAAAATAATCAGTCTCTGTGGATTGCTGTGAGCTGTTGAATGTAAGAAGTCCCTTCATGCTCGAGAAACTGTTTGGTATTACCCCTGTAAGTGAATTGTTAGAAAGATCCACATAGAATAGAAACTCGAGATCACCAATCCATGCAGGAATATCCCCAGACAGTTGATTCCATGACAAATCTAGGACCTTCAATTCTCTGAAATTAGCTAACCATGGTGGTATTGCTCCTGAAAGATGGCTATTAGCAATGGCAAACACCTGGATCTTATGAAAGCCATGTATTCCAGTCATCGGCCAGGCCTTCCCATCATGGAAGTTCTTTGTCAACACAAGGCTTGTTAGGCTTGGACAGTCTTGAAGGACAGATAATGCCGAGGAAACATTTGTGAAGCTGTTGTTCGAAAGTGAGATGTAGGACAAAAACTGAAGCTTTCTAAAATCAGCTGGTATTTCGCCACTGAGGTTATTTGTGCCAAGATTTAGGCTTCTGAGACGATGGCAATCTGACAAGCTATCAATTGTGCCAATAAACTTATTTGTCCCAAGGTCAAGTGAGCTCAGTTGTGTCATCTTCAAGCAATTGAGGTTGATCCTTCCATTCAGTGAATTGTTCCGCAAGTACAACATCTTCAATGATGGCGATTGAGACAATGAAGCAGGCAACGGGCCTCTGAGGAGGTTGGACTGTGCAGAGAAGTACTCTAACTTGCCAAGCCTACCAAAAACATCTGGAAGGTGTCCAGAGAAGGAATTAAAAGAAATGTCCAGCTGAGCAAGGCTGGACAGATTGCCAAACCTCGGGCTCATCCTACCAGTGAGCTGATTCTCCTGCAGAGTCAAATTCTTCAGAAATTGCAACTTGAATAGGTCGTCTGGCAAGCTCCCGGAGATGCTGTTGAGCTCGGCATATAGCTCCTCGAGCTTTATGCAGTTTCCAAAGCCTTCCGGCAGTTCCCCGGCAAAGAGATTCGAAGTGAATCTTATCACACGGATCACTCGAGATGACTCACAGATGCTTGAATCAATTCTCCCGGTGAACATATTGTACCCTGCATCGAACACCGTGAGCTGCGCTGAACCATGGAGTGTGGGATGGGTGCCGCTGAACGAGTTGAACGATATGTTGAAGACCTCAATCACCGGGAGCGAGACGTTGGCCGGGAATGTGCCAGAAAGCTCGTTGTTGCTTACGTCGAGCCGCTGCAGTCTATGGAGCTGAAGGAGGGGTGCTGGGATGGCACCACGGAGGTTGTTATCGGAGAGGTTGAGCCACTGGAGATGGCCCAGTTGTGCGAGCGAAGGTGCCAGCTCGCCCTTGAGTTTCCTGCCATGGAGGTCCAGCCTGATGACCCGGCCGCCGGCGTCGCATGTGACGCCCACCCATGCACAGCGGTTGGCCACTTCGGAGGTCGTGTTTGAGAGCGTCCAGCCGCTGATGCCTCCGGTGACACCTCTCAGGAAGCCTTCCAGTGCACCATAATCATCTGGGTTGCAGGAGCTTTGGTTGAGGGAGTACACCGGAGACAGCAAGAGAAGCTGCACGGACAAGCACCATAGGATGAAACAGCTTGGCCATGTGGTAGTGCGTCGCATCAAGAAATGCCCCATTGATGCAGGAAGGGCTATGCTGATGCTGTTGAATGGGGAAGAGAGGTTCTTGTTTGTTGTGCTCAGGAGCTATGCGATATCTAAGCCATTTGGCCCCAAGCAACAATGGTGGCGGCAGTGAAGGATGAGGGAGAGAGGTGAGGTGCGAGACGATAGGACATGATAGCAGGAGGTCCGGTGCGTGCTCCGGTTTTGACCTGTGATTGTGCAGGCACTCGGCCGTGGGAGTCGTGAATTTTCTTGAGGAAATTGATTGTCTCTGTCAACTTGCTAGAGAGATCCACGGTCGGAAATCTTTTGACTTGCGTTCAAAGTTGGCCTAACCGTCCTTTTCTCCCTCGCTTTCCTTCTTCCTTTTGGCTGTTTTCTGGAAATGAATCTAATAACCAGCGTGAAAGCAGACCGGTGAAGGATACGGCCTGCATACAAAATGGATATTGCTATTGCTAGATGTTCGAAGACTTTGGTTAATGATTATGCTTCTCCATTTGTGCCTTTGGTTAATCGATTACTGTTGAAGATACTACTGCGCAACAAGTGCTCAAAGGGCCAGTCTAAACAGGCAAAGCAATATTGCAAATATTAGTACTTGAAAAATATAATTACAGATATGATTGCATTTAGTGGACGCTGGCATGGACGTAATACCAAAACCGTGATCAATTTGGAATGCTTTTCATAAGATTAAGATATTTATAGGAAGATAGCTAGTTGCTATACTACTTGCCAGGCTTGTACATCCAAAAACTGAAGGATGGGTGGTTGTGGCAGGAGAGTCAACGGCCAGCGGCAAGCTATGCATGTGCAGCCGCCGCTTTCGGCCGGGCCGGGCAACGCCCTGCCGTGCCCGCCCGTGAACATACACAGGAGCACGGCATGGCACGGCTCCAAAAGCTAGGCGCTTATTATACGGGACAAAGGGCTGGCGAGAAAATTCTACTCGTGCTCTGCATTTTTTTTCCTTTTGGTGAAATCATTCGTGCTCTCTTTGGTCTATTATACTCTCTCCGTCACAAAATAACTGTCTCAAGTTTAGTACAAATTTATATTAGAATTAGTATAAAATTGAGACACTAATTTGGGATGAAGCTCAGTCTCAAAATAACTGTCTCAAACTTAGTACAACTTTGTATTAAAATTAGTACAAAATTAAGACACTTATTTTAGGATAGAGGGAGTATTAGGCTCGAGTCGGCTGCGACTAATAAATCTGTGGATGACGCACCGCGCTGTGTTGTTGGTGAGAGCTGGATCTTGGCCATCGGTTTAATACTATCTGGCTCAGTGTCTACCCTAAGAAAATACAGACGAGGCCAGGTGCAGTTTAATTTACTAAAGCATCGTCAATTAATATGGATCGAAGTGAATAAATAGATACTCCCTCCGTTCCTAAATGTAAGTCTTTTTAGATATTTCAATAAGAGACTATATACAGATGTATACAGACATATTTTAGAGTGTTGATTCATTCATTTTGCTCTATATGTAGTCATTTATTGAAATCTCTAGAAAAACTTATATTTAGGAACGGAGGGAGTATATGTTTTGCGCCGAGTCGATTGGATGATTTAATGGAGCATGTGATTCCTTTAAACGTTATGGAACTTTAACCGCATGTTGTGTGTAGGCCAACTCGCAAGTTCAATATCGTACTTCACCGGTCCGCCAAATCACTTTCATGGCAATTACTTGCCTGAGTGGCCACAGTGACATGGTAATTGACTTCGCATCATAATAGGAACACACATCTAATCGTGGTAAAATATATAACAAGCTAAGCCAGGTAGTATGGTGCAAGCTTCCACGGTTCCACCAGTGCGCATTTCGTCTACGACCACTCGGACAGGGGCGGCCAATTACCTGGCGGAAATGCTACGCCACCCGCACGCCCACTACCCGTAACTTTTGTCTTTTGCTTTGCCTTCTTTTCCACGAATTGCCGGACCTGTGCTGTGCGGCTGGGTAGAGTCTTGGAAAGATTGCGTTGGAAAAAAGCCTTTGAAAAGGTTTGAATTTGGAATTGATTTCCGAGAGAGAGAATGTTGGCGTGCGTGTGCAAGATCACTAGCGACCGGCCTTTCCCGTTTTATCTTTGGTTTAGTGGCGTCGTTAGATCACATGTGTATACAAAGTCACTGGCTGCCATGCCAGTAGTGCACAAGACAAGATAGAACGTGCAGCATCTCATGTACTCCCTTCGTTTCAAAATATAAGTCTTTTTAGAGATTCCAACAAATGACTACGTACGAAGCAAAATGAGTAAAACTATATTTTAAAATATATTTGTATGTTGTAGTCCATTTGAAATGTCTAAGAAGACTTATATTTGAAAACGGAGGAAGTAGTATTTTAACCTCTCGTATCTAGCCGTCGTGAATGGATAATTTTTGCTTTGGTGCGTATCTATCCTTTCTACTCCATTTCGCAGAGACTTTAACGAAGAACATATCCACGTGATTAATCAACAATCATAGGGCGGTTAGCCACAGATTTATAATTAATCCAAGTGGCGGAACCGGATTCTGGTGGCTAATGGTGCGCCTTATCTCGCTACGCCACCCACTAGCAAGCTAACAACAAAACATCTAGTGGTGGAACGATCGATTCCTTGGGATCGTCGAGATATTGCTATTTTTCCCAGCGGTCAGTGGGCACTAAGATGAAGGCGGCCGTCCTTCCTTTCCTCCTCCAGTCCAATGAGCTCGCGATCCGGCTCCTGACATGGATCGCCAGAGAGCACGTAGCGTAGCCACTAGCCGGTGATGCGCTGCGCTGCTCGGCAACACGGGTCGTGCACCCGCAGTCGCCACCGAATGGACGCTGCGAGGCACCGAGAGGAGAGGCGGCAGCGTGACATCGACATGCACCACTACCACCATCATCATGCCACCACCAACGCCCGCGCGGTCGACCGTGCGAGTGCGACGAGACACCACCATTTCTCCGACGATTTTGTGGGCGGTGGGCCGGCGGGGTGGCGTCGTCGGTCGATCGCTTTATTTCACTGTCATGACCTAACCAGACCATCCATCCGAGCGGGTGTCGGGCCTCCAAGCGGCCCATCCCAGGGAGCTAGCGTAGAAAGGGGTTGCGTCTTCGGCTGACACACGGCCGGTCGATTTGGATCAGGCTAAAGGCTACGACCGTCGATGTCTTGCTTGCGGCCTCCGGAGCCGTGCACATTCCTGCCCAGAACTTGGCCGGGATTCTGTTTGAATTTCTTTTTCTTGAAAGCTCTGCCTGGCTTTCTTTGTTGCTCCTACTTTCTTCGCATGTGTGCACTCATTAATTAAAGTGAATCAATGACCAGATGGTGTGTGTGCTACCCTTGTAAATTAGCCTAACTTTCAAGTACTGGTCAACTTTAAAATACTAACTAGCCTGCTAGATAGGAGCAAAAGAGGAGACTGACTTAGAAGTGTAGATCAAAACATTGAAATTTTCAGACACCATTGCTAAAAAGGTACTCTGTTCATAGTTGAAATATTCTTTCGTCGGTGATGCTAACAGAGCCCAGCAACATAACTATAAGTTTGGTTTGTGACGTAAAGAACCGATCGAGCTAGCGAAACGTCATTCGCAGTTTAGTCATTTTATTTTAAAGAAAAGGCATACATCCAACGTTATGAATAAATCCACGAGGTAGAGTACAATAGGGGAGGTCACAGAGTGATAAACAATGCAGCCACAAAAAGGCTTGACCATAAGTAGCATTACACGACCAAAAGGCCAGAATTACGGCACGCATGCCAACAACCTACGGACGACAAACAGGGTCACATACCAGAAGAAGCACCAGCATCAGGTGGGGTTGGACTGCTCCTGCGCAAGGAGGGAAGACGCAGTAGTACGCGCATTGCCAATCAGCACATCCATCGCCTCGCGATCGGCCTCCTTAGTCAATAATTTCCACTGCTGGAGAAAAGAGATGAGTTTAAACAAACAATTAGCAGGCTTGTTAGGAAAGACATGCTCAATAGTAAACTTGTTCCTCGTAGTTCAGAGCACCCAACACATGGGAGAGCATCCAACCCAAAACATGTGTCTTTTTTGCCCAGAGAGCTCGGACGAGCTGGCCCTAAGATTAAGATCAGCAAAGGAAGACAGGGACCAAATCAAATTCAACCAAGATCTAACACAACTCCAAAGCATCTTAGTGAAAATACAATTGAAAAGCACATGGTTAGTGTCCTCCCTGGCACCACAAAGCTCACAAAAGGCAGACCCAGGACCGTTCCGCTTGCGGATCTGATCAACCGCAGGAAGCCACCACGAATAGCTTGGCACACAATTTTTTTAATCTTAACGGGAATCTTAGCACACCAAATCTCTTTGAATTTGGAGGTCGTAGAGACCACCATCAATCTTCCATACAAAGACTTAACAGAAAGCGACCCGAGAGCGTATGAGGCCACGAAACTGAGTCCGCCTCCTCCGAGAGCAAGGGGAAGAGCTCAGCAAGACGCTACCACTCATCCATCTCTACAGGAGAAAGGGAACGATGTACCCCCAAATCCCATTTATTATGCGAGAGATCCGAGATGGAAATCTCCTTTGAAGAACAGTACAGAAAGATCACCAGGAAGGCGCCATCATGTTCGCTCGCGGTGTCCCTGTAGTTGGCTTTGGTGATGTTAGCTGTCATGGTGGTTTCGGCCTTCCCTTTACTTCGGGGCATCTTGGGTTTAGTCGTGTTGTACCCTTTGTTTGGGCCGAGCATCCCCTTGCTCTCTGCTCAGGGCACCATGTCCATGCGTTCATGTATTGTGTTGTACCCTCCATGTACTCATTCTAATTCTTTCTATCAATGAAATGATATGCAAGCTTTGCGTATTCGCGAAAAAAGAAAAGATCACCGGGATGGTAGAACAAATAGTGTTGGGGATATGACCCCATGGTATAACCCGCCCTAGTAGGGTCGGGTTAGGTTGTTGGTGACTTAAACAATAAAGCCTTAGATAGGCCCAAGAGACCAAGACGTGAAACCAGGGAGGCGACTT